TTGCGATCTATCCTAGGTTATGTGCATTTTTTTTTCACGCTCGAACGTGGCCCGTCTCCGCTATGCATGCACGTCAGTCGTCACCGAAATATGTGCCGCACGCCGTCACTCTGTCTCGCCTCTTCAGGAGCGGTGCAAGCACGCGTGAAGAATGATGCGAGAAAATGTGTGCGGGGAATCAGAAGAAATAAAAATAAAGTGTTTAGAGAAAGGGGGTGTCAACGCGTCGGAAGCTTTGACGCTGTCAAAGTTTGCGCATTGACTGAAGTGACGGGTTTGTGAAAAGAGGGACAATGTAAAGTGTTTCTCGGGCGACGTCACACTGGGAGACGCTTTGACGTCATCAACTGCCCGCGCGGTTCACTTGGGAACATCTTTGCGTGGTTTACGCATTTCCTCCGTTTTGGCACGTCTTTGACCTTCACACCTGCGTGTTTTTCACCGGCTTAAACGACAGTGTACGGTTTTGTGCGGGACGTGCGAGACCTTCATTGGCATTTTCAAACACGGCGTACAAAGTAACTGTTTCGCCCGACGAACTTTGTATGTGATTGACAGTTAACCAAGTTTTGCTAGTAACGTTGACCAAATAGATTCGCACTTCTTTTCTTTTTAAGCGGTGCCACAGATTATTTTCGATTGTCGCGACATGACTAGAAACTTGCAGAGGAGCCCATGCTACTGAAGACACAGCTGTGGCCCACTGCACCTGCATGAAAAGTCTTGGGCTCCAAGCGACGTCTGCGTTTCCTTTGCTGACCTCGTTACGAGCGGTCACTTTGAAGTGCGATGCAATAATCATCGTTTACCATATGGGCATACTGGTTCGCGCTCGTGCGTATATATATATATATATATATATATATATATATATATATATATATATATATATATATATATATATATATATATATATATATATATATATATATATATATATAGTTTGAGCTCTAAATGAACTCGTGTCCATCAACGGTGCTATAAGGGCAGTGAGTGGTTAAAAGGAGGGTAAATACCTGAACTGATTTTACGCTCTAATGCAGAACGAAGGCCAAACCCAGCGATTTCCCATTTACCCTGTCCTCCTCTAGCTTATTCGCATTTTTTTTGCCGGCAAATTTCTTGATTTCATCACCCCGCCCAACCTTCCGCACTACTCGGCTACGTATGCCATCCCTTGGCAACCTTGGCGAACATTCCGTCGCCCTGTTTGAGATTCCGCTATTATTATTATTATTATTATTATTATTATTATTATTATCGTCCTTGTCTATAATTAATGCATTCTACTTTTTGTTACGTCCATTGCAATATGTGTGGCTTGCCGAGGTGTATGTTTCTCTTAACTTCAACTAGAGTATCGGCTGTACCTGTTTTTTGCGCCCGTCATTTTTCATTCATGTATACAGAATCATTCTGGCGTTCAATCCGTCGTAAAATGTATCGCACACGGGGACAACACCTCAAAGAAAAGCGTCGGCGAGTGGATCATAATAAGCGGGTGCGCCTTGATCGAGGCCGATGTCTTACTCTCATCGCTAATTGACGGCATGTAGCGCTGCGCTTAAAGTACACAGTTAAAATACACTGTTCGTCTTATCTTTCATTTTTTTAAAACTATGAATGTCATTACATCCGCTAACGAACGATATATCGGTTGACAGTACTGTGGAAAAGCATTTGATTCACTGCACCGCGAAAAGGGAGTTTCAAGTATTTGCCTTTATCTGCTCTATTTTACACGCCTGATCACGACTGACGTCTGGGGGATAGAGTTACCCGCACATGTATGGCAACTTTAGACAGAAAAAAAAAAACAATGCAAGAGCCCTCGCCCTATCGGGAAAGGGGGGGGGTCAAGTGAAGCTTCACATATATCGGTTTTATTCCTTTCTATTTCTTTCTTTCTCAATGCAAAGTGCCCCCGCCTAATTTTTTTTCCTTTCTCCATGCCGGCAAATGGGACCTTTACATCCACGCTTTTAGCTGCGCAACGCTTCGATTGCTGCGCGAAACAACGACGGTTGTGCGTTCGTATCCACGCAGCAATAAAACGTGGCAACTTGAAATGACAAGTGACCTCGATCAAAGATCGTATTGCCACATCAAAAACGACCAATCGCCTATAAGACCAGGATCAAAAGAGCATCGGTTATTGGAAAACGGCGCATGTACAAGTACGCCTGTCACCGGTACACATTCGATGGTCGCTTTTCTTTACAGAATATTGCCTGTATTTGGCTTTCTCGCTGGAAAAAATCCGCTACGTGGGCAACTAAGTGGGCGTTCCTGTATTGTAGATGGCCGTTTGTTTTTTTGACCCGCATCTAGTGTTAATTAGACTTCTCCCCCTTAGTATATAATACTCTAACTCGTTGATCACTTTTTTTCAAAACACATCGCGCGAGTGATTCTGTCATCATTTCATTTGCCGAGCGAGTCCCGCAACCTTGAAAGACTTCCTGCCAAGGCGTCGCTGCCGACAGTTATCCGCTTCGCATAGAGAAATTAAAGCGGAAGACGTATATCTAAGCGATGGATAGAGCGGACGGCCGTTACAGATTTGCGCTCATGGGGTCATGGAAAAATGCGTGTGTTGTGTAACTGTCGCCGCTGAAGTTGAGTAATTCCTAGCGAACGCCCTTTTAGTTGGCGCTTTTGCTGCTCGTTTGCATTACTTCAAAGCCTATAGCAACTATTCTATAGAGTTGGCTGCAAGGTCTGTTTGTGAAGAATAAATGCGTTTTGGCCTTGTGTATACTTTGCGCAATAACATTTCCATTTTCGCGCCATGACTTCAGAAAAAAAAAAAAGTGCTTGTGGGCTTTCCAGTGTACTTCGGAAAAGTGCTCTCATTTATCTGTTTCGTGTGCAGCTTCTTAACGGCCAACGAACCTCGTGTTTATTGTTCCTACATTCATCAATATTTCAACTTATATCATGTTCGCGTTAGCCATCAAACCGCCTCGGTAGTCTACTGGATGTGATGCTCGACTTCTGGCCCGCAGGTCGCGGGATTGATTCCTGGCTGCGGCGCTGTATTTTCGATGGAGGTGAAGATGTGTTTGAAGCCCTAACCCCCCCCCCCCCCAAAAAAAAAAAAAAATAAACCACACGCACACACACACGCGCACGCACGCACACACACACACGCACACACACGAAACGAAAAAAAAAACGTGAGTCGTTTTTGCTTGGTGATTTTATGTATAGAGAGTATGGCGCAGAACTTTGAATAAGCAAACTGACGCGTACTTCGATAGAATCGAAATGCTGGAGGCTTGGTGCTAGAGGGCCGTGTACTCTTGCGTCACGTTAAAGAAAACCAGATGGTCAAAATTATCCAAAGGACTTTTCGACGGAGAGATTTGGGCTAGTTGGTGGGGGTAGAGCTTGTGCATGCGTCTTAGCAAGCGCAGCGGAGCAAACGCAAAAGAAAGGGACGCGTTAACAGGATGGGCGCCCGTCCTGTTTACGTCTCTTTTTATTTTGTGTTTTGTTCCGCTGAGCTTTTTGCTGAGGTGCACAACTTATTCAGAGATCTCCACTATGCGGCGTTGCTTGTAGCTTAAGTCGCTTCGGGACGTTAAACATCGTCTAACAACCACGAAGAGGAGAAAAAAAAATACAACCTTAATAAACTCTCGGTCGTTCGCTGCTATAGTTATACGCAGCGCGATTGCTCTCACAGACCCAAGACGCAAACTGACGTTACATGCTGCAGAAGTTACGCGAGCGAGTATTAGTATACACAATGAGTGTATCACTGATTAATCTCTGTGCTAGCGTTGAGCGATCACCATTAGAGCACGACGCAGCTATAGTAGTTTATATACTATATTGCCGGGCACAGCCGTTTTTTTTTTCTCATTCCTTTTTTCTTCCTGCTATGTTGCTCTTCCTTTCTATGTACGCTCGAATGGTCACTTCTACTTTCCCACGGCCGAAATGGCGGTCCTTGCCCCGGCCCCCCACATTATACGCTCGCAGCAGGACTCGGCTGCATCGCATGCTCTGGCCATCGCTGTACCAACAGCGTATACACTGTACGTAGACGATCGAAAGCTTTTCTCCCACTTCGCTTAATTTCTTACGCGCTCTTGCGCTGGCGATTCTATTTCTGCGGTTAGTAATGACTTCGCGGACGTCCAGCGTTTTTCGAAGACGGCTCTGCCGTTGGGTGTGGCGCCCCCGTGTGCGGGCACTTCCTGGTTTCTTAATCAGCTCTTCCGAGCGCGCGCCGTTCTTGCCGTTCGCTTCGTGACTCGAATCTAATCATCCGGTGGCGTCGCCAAACGCGCTGAGGAAGTTAGCCAGCCGCACTCGATAACTCGCATACTTTCGTATTTGCCCGCTCTATCTCGCGTGACGCCTTTTATTTGTTCAATTTTGCATAGTGCTTACGGTGGAACTCGATACGTTTCGAGAGGAAATGTTGTAACTTCGGCACCCTCGGATGCCGTCGCCCATTAAGCCAGTAAGAGGATATATATATATATATATATATATATATATATATATATATATATATATATATATATATATATATATATACGTGAAGCTGCATGCATTAGTAAGTTGCTGCGGCCACGTACGCGTGATTTGCATAAATTAAAAAGTTGATTAATCTAGAATAATTATAGAACGTGCTTGACCTACGTACGCTTTGTGTATTCGCTGTGGTTTATCGTATACGTGCATTAGCGTGTGTGCTGGCGATGTCGGAGGAAAACTACGCGGAAATTTAATAATGATGCAAAGACATCTTTATGTGCGTGTGTGCGAGTATATGTAAAGGCTATGCGGGCAAAAAAAAAAATGAATATCCTACCGCATTCTCCAACTCTTCCCGACCTTCTTCTGCCTCTGCAGAGAATTCTCTTCTACGGGATAGTGCGTTTACGTTCTCGTTATTTCTTTTTATTCTTATTTTTTCTTCTTCAGTATGACTGCTTGCATAACTAACGTCGCCCTTCTCCACTTCTGTTGTTCAACCGCAGGTGCGGCACCAGCTGGTGGAGCCCCTGGACTACGAGCAGTTCGTGTCCAAGAACAAGACCATCCTGCACAATGACCCTCAACGGGAGATGCTGTTCTTTCCCCCGGACGACATCTCGGTGAGCATTGTGTAAATGCATTCTGTCGATATTCAGTGGTCGATATTCTATATGTGTCCTAAAATAATGATTGTTCTGTCAGAGTATGGGTTCATGCAGACATGTATCGCATTGCTGTTAACTATACTAAATAAACCTCTTCTGCGGAAGAACCTGCTCTGTGGAACTGCGTATCTTCAGTTGGTTAAAAAAAAAGAAAGAGAGACGTTGTGGAGGATTCCAAGACTATGCGTACCCTTCTCTCAGTGTCTGTAGAATACGAGCAGCCCTGTATCGACATTGCTTGAGGAAAGCGTACATTGCACTATTGAAAGGAGAATACGTGTGGACGTTTCAACACCCGAATGTTGTTTCTCTCTGCATCGTTAGGCATTGGTGGATCCAAATGGGGAGAGGAGGTGTCTTTGTTTGTAATTAGTCTCTGGCTGCATTATATTTAAGATAATAAAAAATAATAATTTTGGCTATGGTCCTGTAGTGCGGCCCATCGAACCACCCGTCAAACATGGTAGGGCAATTGCCATATTGATTCGTTATACAGTCGTAAGCAGTATATTGAGGTTAAGTCAGCATATACTGACTATGCAGAAGGTTCAAATGATCCAATGAACAATGAATATTTCAACTTTAGGTACAAGTCGAAACAGCTTGCGGAAACAAGTTGCGTACACTAACGTAGTCATCGCTGGTGAAGGGGACATTCTTCGTGAAACACACACAAAAAAAAGACAGCCCAAATATACCCGGATTTTCGGATTACACAGCCGTTTGGAATGTTATCGTATATCGCATGTCCTCTGAGGAGCACCGACTGTTGTTTGAATAATGTTCACCGTGTATCATATGACGATTTATTAATGTTTGCGAAATTTTCGCCGAAACGGGACGTGCCAGGCATGTCCGTTTTGCTCGTTTCCGAAAAGATCGGGAGCATTCAAAGGGGAGTGATTATCGCGACGGCGCCTATATACAGTCCGGTATATATGAGCGATTAGCGAAACTGTGTCGACATGTCTCCTAATCGTTAAGCGCAGTTTCACGACCGAAACTCGTCGATTAAGCAGATGACTCTGGCGAATAGGCTTCCACTCATTCGGCCGTTGAGTAGAATGCAAGACCTAGGGGTCGCCTCGATCGCGCGGCGACGATTAAAAAAAAAAACAAAAAAACGGGCGCGCGCGGGTAGTTTCCAGCGCCTAGTCGAACGCCGCGTACGTTTCCCGATCTGCGCGACATACAGATTCCTATCGGGATGCATTAGGCGTATGTGTCGTATACTTCTCATGCCCGATACGCTACAGAGCCTCGTATTAAAGTGGACGGTTTGGGCGGTACGTTAATACATTGACGGGGGAAAACTGGGGGGGGGGGGGGGGGGAGTTAAAAAAAGTACGTTAACCTACAAATTTGCGTCGACTGTTCGCTCAGCCGTCGCTAATACCGCGCGCGATTGACCCATATTTTCTTTTATATTAGCCGCTGTATAGATATGCTCGCCTTTGCCACAAACCGTTCTTCTTGTTATTCATTGAGTTCATTTTTTTTTCTGTACGTTATGCCAGTGAACGTTAAAGAACACCAAATAGTCGAAATTTCCGGAGCCCTCCACTACGGCGTGTCTCATAATCATATCGCCGTTTTAGCACGTAAGACCACACTAATTATTATTATTATTATTATTATTATTATTATTATTATTATTATTATTATTATTGTGCTGCTGCTGTTGTAGCTGCAGTTGTCGTTCTCTGCGGGAGATCGAGCGAATTTTATGCCTGTGCCGTACGGTGTGTGTACGCCATACAGGGTTGCGAGTTGCCCGTCTTGCTTTTCTGATACTCGTTTTAGGGTTCGTCTTTTTAGGATAACCGAGAATGAATTAATGGCTAAGCTGTCCTATCGGATAAACCCTGTCTTCGACGTACAGATACGTATTTCCTTGTTTTTTTATTGTTGCTCGAACTCTTCCAACGGTATGATAGCATTGTTTTTCGAGTGGCATTCGGCCACGCCTCTCCCTCTCACTTCGACTGCCCTTGTATACCTGCGTCCCTATTCCACTCGTACAGGGTTTAGAGAACGAAGTCCGCGGCTATCGCGACGTGTTCCCGGAGATCGAGTTCAACGGCTCTCATCTGTATTTAGTTCGGTGTTTGTACGAGTCCGCGGTTCTTTGTTTTCTTTCCACAACGCACACAGACGCCATCGATGGTGCGTATAGCTATACCGGGGCGCGCTCGAAAACGGCTGTCATGCGCACTATCTGCGCACGAGAAGCGGTGGCAACGAGTCCACGGATGGGGGGGGGGGGGGGGGGGGCTGCAGAGCGAGAAACCTGTTTCGTGGGACTTTGCGAGCGCGTACTAAACGACACGCGTCGATCTCATTGCTCTATTTCTGTTTCATCTTTTCATTAACGATATAGCCGTGGCCGCAAAGCTCACTAGATCCTTCGTTCGCTTATTTTAGCCGGGCTGCAGGTAACGGTCGAAGGAGAGGGTGGCTGTAATCCTAAGCGTATTGTTCTTGAGCGCTCTCCCCCCTGCTAAATGTCGTGTCATTTCTTTGTGGTGTGCTCCTTTGCGTGTAAACATGTCTTACATCGCTCTTTCTTTAGAGCACTGGCCGAGTCTGCAGAAGTCGCTTTAATTGGCGTCGTGTACGGCGTCTACACCGTTCCACCGTGCGCCCCGCTTGCCAAATGGGGAAACTGGGTTTACTGCGTTGCCAGTTTTGCGCTTGTTGCGAAAGCGAGCGGGTTTTATTGAGCATTGTCGCGGTGTTTTTATCTAGCGAGAGTACCCACATGTAAACGAAGACCATTAACAGATAGAAAATATCGAGAAATAAGTGTTGAAAGACATGGAGTATATAGTGTTGTACTACTGCAAGGTATCGCTTGCCAAGATGAGTGTGTGCGCATATATATATATATATATATATATATATATATATATATATATATATATATATATATATATATATATATATATATATATATATATATATATATATATATATTGTTGCGAAGATACTTCAGACCCTACAAGGTTCTGCGACGCATTAGTGACGTCAACTACGAGGTTGTTCCGGACGGCGTGCAGTGTTCAAAGCGGCGCAGACATTCACCAGAAATTGTCCACGTGCTTCGGATGAAGCCTTACTTTCAGTGACTGATGCAGTTTTGGTTTCGCCTTGCTTCTCAAACGTTTAACATCGGGACGATGTTTTTTTTTTAAAGGGGGAATAATGACGCGCGTATGTGCCAGTGGTGAGGACAACGAAGCAGCGCGAGTGTCTTTGTCCGAGGGAAAAAGACGAAGAAGTCGTTGCAGTCTGTTTCCTGCGATCGATAAATCGTATTTGTTTGAGGCGCTTTCTGTGCTCGTCAATCTCGCGTCGTCACAATATATATATATATATATATATATATATATATATATATATATATATATATATATATATATATATATATATATATATATATATTGTGACGTGTTTATATGAAAAAGAACGGTGATAGGAATGTTTTGTAGATTCCCGCTAGTGGGTCCGGTGGTTTTTCGGGACGACAACGAAGCAGGCATCTTGCTGTACAGCTGATCCTGAATACGCTCTTTTCGCTGCCGTAAGCTGCTGTCATCTTTTGTTCGCGTTGTTCCACGTACACCGTTTGAACAGGTAGGAATGGATATTTTAGGACCCCTTCCTACTTCTACTGCAGGGAATCGCTGGGTTATAGTCGCAACAGACTACCTAACCAGGTATGCCGAAACAAAAGCTATCCAAAAAAGCACCGCCGTGGAAGTGGCGAGATTTTTCATAGAAAATATTGTGCTACGCCACGGTGCTCCGACTATCGTGATCACAGACCGCGGAACAGCATTTACGGCAGCCATTTTAGACCACGTCCTGATGCTTAGTGGAACGACTCACCGTAAGACCACTGCGTACCACCCGCAAACAAATGGACTAACGGAGCGCCTCAACAAGACGATTGAAGACATGCTGTCGATGTACGTGGATGTCCAACATAAGAATTGGGACGAGATTTTACCCTATATCACGTTCGCATACAATACGGCTAAACAAGAGACGACTCGCATGACTCCATTCAGCTTGCTTAACGGACGGGAGGTACGGACTATGCTGGATGCGATGTTGCCACATGAATGGGACGCTACCGACACAGGCGCTGACGTGTTCACTGAACGCGCGGAAGAAGCTAGACAGCTCGCCCGCTTACGGATCCACCAGCGACAAGACTACGACGCAGGCCGCTACAATGCTCGCCATAGAACTGTAACGTACAAAATCGGTGACAGAGTGTGGGTTTGGACACCCGTACGAAAACGTGGACTGTCCGAGAAGCTGCTAAGGCGATATTTCGGGCCATACCGAGTATCGCGCCAGCTAAGTGACGTCACCTACGAGGTTGTCTCCGACAGTCCCCAATGTCCGAGGCGTCGCCAGCACCAGCCTGAACTTGTTCATGTAGTGCGTATGAAGCCGTATGTGAGTGACTGACTGCACGTTAAAAAAATACTGTGCGTCTGAATCAGCATCGGGGCGATGCTCTTATAAGGAGGGGCAAGTGACACGTGTTTATATGAAAAAGAACGGTGATAGGAATGTTTTGTAAATTCCCGCTAGTGGGTCCGGTGGTTTTTCGGGACGACAACGAAGCAGGCATCTTGCTGTACAGCTGATCCTGAATACGCTCTTTTCGCTGCCGTAAGCTGCTGTCATCTTTTGTTCGCGTTGCACTGCGACAATATATATATATATATATATATATATATATATATATATATATATATATATATATATATATATATATATATATATATATATATATATATAGGGGAAAGAAGTGTTATTTAAGGGCTCTTGTTTCCGTGTTTCAATACAATATTAATGAGATCTAAAAAAAAATAATGCCAAGGAATGTATAGGGCAAGTTATTAGACCCAATTGTAATGTAAATGTGAAGAAAGAAA